GGGGTGCAGGGGCGCGCCCCCCTCCCCCCGGCTGTCCTGCTGTCCCGCCTCCCGGTGACGCCCGCCCCCGCCCGCAGATTTCACAGACAAGCCCCTGGAGAAGCCCCTGAAGCTGGTGCTGAAGGTGGGCGGCAGCGAGGTGACCGAGCTCTCGGGGTCCGGCCACGACTCCAGTTACTACGATGACAGGTCGGACCTGGAGCGGGAGCGGCACAAGGAGAAGAAGAAGAAGAAGAAGAAGAAGGCGGAGAAGGAGAAGCACCTAGATGAGGAGGAGAGGCGGAAGCGGAAGGTGAGGCAGCGCCTGCCCTCGGGAGGGCCCCTGCCTTAGTGGGGTGCACGTCACTTGGGGTGTCCTGGTTGGTATTGGGGTGCACGCCACTCAGGGCCCGGCTGGCCCCTGCTCTGCCTCTGGAGGAAGGCACTCCAGAACGGGCTGCCGTGGGCAAGAAGCCCAGGTCCTCCAGGCGCAGATCTGGACAGGGTCCCTTGGAGAGAGTGCTGCCCAGCCGTCATCCCTGGGGCAAAACCCGCCTGCCCCATCCTGACCGAGTGGGACCTGCTGCAGGAAGAGAAGAAACGCAAACGGGAGAAGGAGCACTGTGACACCGAGGGGGAGGCCGAGGACTTCGACCCTGGGAAGAAGGTGGAGGTGGAGCCGCCCCCGGATCGGCCAGTGCGTGCCTGCCGGACACAGCCAGGCAAGGGTCCCCTTTCAGACTTCCAGGGTATAGAGCTGGCCTGGTGAAGTTGGGCCCAGCCTCACCTCCTGCTCTGGGGAGGAGTGTGGGAAGGAGAAGAACTGCTGTTTCCTCTGGGCCTCGTCTCAGGTGTCACCTGGACCCCGGCTCCTGCTGTCATTGAGTGTCCAGAGCAGGGCTTGGCCTGTTGCTGTTGCGGACTTAAACATGTTCTAGTTCACAAGCAGGGAATGGCCCAGGTGCTTAGAGCCAGAGAAGAGACAGACAGGCTGTACCAGAGGACAGCTGGGCTTCGTGCAGCTCAGAAAGCCAAGGTGGTTTTCCTTCTGGGCTTTATAGAAAAGTTTTGCCAACCTGGGTCTAAAAATGTGTTTTTCCTACAGTTAATCCCACACAGAGTCAGAAGAATCCAGGTCAGACTCACAAAAGGTGCAGGTAGCCTCAGGATGTAGGCGAAGGCCCGGGGTAGGCCCCGTTAGGTGACCGTAGGCCAGGAGCAGAGGCAGTTAGAGACCCTCAGCCTTCGTGAGAGTTCTGCAGTGCACGCTGCCCACCAGGCAAGGCCCTGTGCTGGGATTTCCAGCCAGCCAAGCCCTGCCCTGCGCAGCCCCTGCCCCAGCCTCAGGCACTTCCCACATGGTGGCCAGGGCGTTTGTATGCGGACCGAGAGTGTGTCTTCCTGGTGGTCCCCAACATCCGGTGGTTCCCAGGTAACAGAAATAGGCAACCAGGCATCAGGAGGGAAGGGGCTCGTGCTGGGATCAGGCTTCAAGGTGTCAGAGGCAGGGCAAGTCTGTGGGTGTCCCCGAAGGGAGGTTCTGGGATGTGTGTGGCCCCTGGGTCTACATGTGTGCTCTTGGTCCCTGGGAGGAAGGAGGAGCGTGGGCAGAGGTGCCGTTTCCTGGCATGGCCCTGGACAGATAGCACCCAGGTCGCTGCTGGCCATGCTGCCGTGGTGAGTGTCACAGCAGTGCTTAGACGGGTGCGTCCGTAGTGTCATCTGCTACATTGCCTGCTGGAGGTCCCTCCTGCGGTGCACTTGCAGAGCTGAGGCCGAGAAGAAGCTTTCTCGGGTGTACCCTGGCCACTCAGGCCTGGAGCTGTCGTTGGCAACTACAGTCCGCACTAGGACGGCAGGTACATGGTGCTGTCCCCGGTTTGCCGATGAAGCCTTCCGGTTAGTGACTGCAGGGCCCGCCTGTGTGTCCAGAGCTGTTTCTATTTCCTTGTCTGGAGTGCTCCAGGCCCGGCAGGGGTCTGAGTGCAGAAAGGTTATTGAGTGGTAGCTCTGTACTGTTGGCTGAGGGGTCCCAGGCCCTGGGAGAGGTTTTGAGGGTGGTGGTGGGTGCCCCTCCCACCGTCCTGAGTTTTGTGGGGACCAGGGCTGAATCTGAGCCATCTGTGACTCCTCAGCATGCCCTTAAGTGTAAAACGCCTCGGAACACCACACAGATAACCGCTGTGAAGCTCGCGCTTTCTGCTCAGTCTTACCTCCCTTCTCCAATCACAGCCGAGAACGAGAGCACGCCTATCCAGCAGCTGCTGGAACACTTCCTCCGACAGCTGCAGAGGTGAGCCTTGTGTGCCGAGAGCCACTGTTTGGGGGTCTCGTAACCCCTACCTCCCCGCCCCGCCATGGTTACCTTCACCCGGGGACTCCAGTCCTGCGGGGTGGCAGGCGCCAGGCCTCGAGCCGGGGAGGGCACACAGGCCCTTAGCACTCGGTCCTCCCTAAGGTCGTGGTGGCATCAGGGGCCGCGTTGGACAGCTTGGGTGCGCGTGATAAGGCTGGAGCTGGGCGGTGGGGAAGAGAAATGAAGATTTTCTACTGAAAATTCAGCCTCCAGCCCCCAAACTCGAGTGGTAGGGAGCCCCTCTAGCCTTCTCTCTGTCCTGTATCTGTCTCTCTCTGCCTCTGTCTCTGTCTTCTCATTTTTTGGTAATTTTCCCTTTTAAAACTTTTTTAAGGTATTTTCCTGGCTTTCAGCCCCTCCTTTATCTCACTAATAATCCCCTTTCCCCTGCCCATCCGAGAGAGGCAAGGAGCAGGCCTTCAGAAGAAGACTCCTCCATGGCTCCTGAGAACTAGTGATTTCGCACGACATGCAGTTTTTTTTGTTGTGTGTGTGTGTGTGTGTGTGTGTGTTTGAAGAGGATTTTGCTATAGGGCGCGTGCACTTGCCAGAAAGAGAGAGACAGAGAGATAGAAAGCGAGAAATCACCCCCCAGGGGGATGGCCACGCCGCAATCCCTTCTCCTCCATTCTCTTCTTGGGATCTTGGGCACGCACGTGCCCGGCGTATTTAAGCCACCTGGTCCGGACTCAAACAGCAGTTGACTACGTGGGAGTTCAGCAACACAGCCATTACACTAACTGCTGGTCCCTGGCATGCAGTTTTTAATTTTTCTCTTTTTTTAAAAAAAAATAAATTTTTGGTTGTTTTACATTTTTTCCCCTTCTTTTTCTCTCTTTCTTTGGGGCTTTATTCCCCCCCCCTTTCCTTTTATCTCATCATTCTACTCCTCAGTCTCCATCCTCTCCGTTTCTAGATGGACCTAAGGGAACCAGCCAAACATCCAAACACTGTCAGGGTTAATGTATTCCTTAATATCCCTGAATCTGCTGCACGAAGGGTAAAAACAGAACAGCAAAGAGATTCCCGATCACCACCTTCTGCACACTCCTGATCGCTCACATTGAACTTCAAGAAACACACCATCCATGGGACCAGCAGTTAGAGTAATGGCTATGTCGCTGGACTCCCACGTAGTTGACCGTGGTTTGCGTCCCGGGCCCGGTGGCTTAAAACTCATGCCAGGCACGTGTGCTTGCATTCCCAAGATCCGGAGGGGAAAATGGAGGAGAAGGGATTGCGGCGTGACCATCCCCCCTGGGGGGTGATTTCTCGCTTTCTGTCTGTCTCCGTCTGTCTGGCGAGCGCACGCGCCCTATAGCAACAACCTCTCCAAAAAAAATAAAAAAGAAACACACCATCCATCAGATGACTAGAAATCACCACAGGGCCACAAGAAATATGAGAAAGCAAGAAAATACCTCTCCTCCAAGGGAAAAGAATAACTCCTCTTTATCCACAGACAGTCCAATGGAAATCATGGAAATATCTGATAAAGAATTTTAAATATTCATAATGGAGAAGCTAACAGAGATGGAAGAGAAGAGAGACAATGAGCTGCGGAAGAGGCAGGAGAAAGGAGCTGACGAGTTCCAGGAGGTGAGGAAATTCTTGCAAGATCTAAAAGAGGAATTACACACTTTAACAAAGAATCAAGTGGACCTGTTAGAGATGAAGGCTATAATTCAGGAAGTCAAAATCTCCCTGGAAAGTATTAAAAGCAGACTAGATCGTACAGAAAATAGAATCTCAGACTTAGAAGAGAAAATTGCTGGCCTAGAAAAATCCACTACGAAGACTGAGAAAATTGCCCCAAAATTTGAGAATAATACACGAGAAATACTAGATACCATCAAACGTCCAAACATCCGGATAATAGGCATCCCAGAAGGCGAAGAGACCCATAAGGGCATTGATAATCTATTCCATGAAATCCTGCAAGAAAACTTTCTGAACCTAGAGAGGCACTCAAAGATCCAGTCCCAAGAAATACAGAGGACCCCAAATAGAATCAACCCAAGAAGATCTTCTCCAAAGCACATTATAGCCAGACTGACCAAAACCCCAGACAAAGACAAGATACTAAGATTGGCAAGAGAAAAATGGCAAGTTAACTACAAAGGGTATCCCATCAGGCTAACAGCAGACCTCTCATCGGAAACAGTGCGAACAAGGATAGAATGGGAAAATATATTCAAAGTGTTAAAGGAAAAGCAATTTGGATCAAGAATAACTACCTGGCAAGATTATCCTTCATATGGGAAGAAAAGACAAAACATTCTCAGATAAAACCTGAAAGAATTTACTAGCACCAGACCAGATCTCCAAGAAGTTCTCAAAGGAGTGCTATACCAGGAATATTAAATACAGTCACAAAAAAATAAGGGTTCAAAAATGAAGAAAATGGGGACCAGCAGTTAGTGTAATGGCTATATCGCTAGACTCTCACATAGTCAACCGCGGTTCGCGTCCTGGACCCGGTGGCTTAAGTCTCAGGCCAGGCACGTGTGCGTGCATGCCCAAGATCCCGAGAGAATGGAGAAGAGATTGCGGCGTGGCCATCCACCAGGGGGGTGATTTCTTGTTTTCTCTCTCCGTGTCTTTCTGGCGAGCGCACATGCCCTATAACAAAAAAACTTTAAAAAAAAAAAAAAGGAAAAAATATATATATTCACACATATATATGAAACTAGAAATGGAAAATTACTGATGTTAACATGTGTGATTAAGCCACTACGCGGTATATTCTGGATGGGAAATCACATTTTGTGTACTGTGATGATGCTTAGAGAATGAATAAATTAATTTTAAAAAGTTTCAGAAAAAAGAAAAGCTCACGGAAATATGTGTAATGGGAAAACTGTGTAGGAATTCCAAAGTTTTTGTACCAAAATAAATTCATACTTTAATTTTAAAAAAAGGGGGGGGGGCTGGAGCTGGGACGGTGGCGGGAGGTGGCCTGACTGTCCAGGCTGCCTGTCACTCTGAAAAGGCAAGGCACTCATTTTGTAACTTTGGTTTTTAACGAACTTCAAAGTTGGTCAACCGTACCAGACTTTTAGAGAAATTCTGTATTAGAAACGTGAGTTCTAGTGTTTCCCAGTCAAAGCGCGATGTCTTTGCTTTCAGAAAAGATCCTCATGGGTTCTTTGCTTTTCCCGTCACGGATGCGATCGCTCCTGGGTACTCCATGATAATAAAACACCCGATGGACTTCGGCACCATGAGGGACCGGATCGCAGCCAGCGAGTACAAGTCAGTGACAGAATTTAAGGTGCGTCGGTCTCACACACACTCTGCTCGCTCGTAAAGTGCGTGTCCAGGGAACCCCTCAGCTCCCCGACAGGGTGCCCGGTGACCGCACACAGGTGTGTCTGAGTGTGGGGGTGTTTCATAAACAGCGTCAGAAAGTGGGTTGAGTGGGGACATTCTGTGTGGGGTAGAACCCAGACCGTGTGTTGTATGTTATTAGAAATGCACTTCTTTTCTTTTTCTCTGTCTGCCTTTCTTTCCTTGTTTTTGGTGTGTGTGAGAGGTTTTTGTTGTCAGTCATGTGCACTCACCTGAGCGACACAGAAAGACACGAATCGCCCTGGGGTATGGCCACCCATCAGTCTGCCGTCCTCTCCTCCGCAGTCCTCTCAGGCTCTTGGGCACACACACGCCCAGTATGAGTTCAAGCCGTCAGGTCTGGAACTTGAACTGCGGTCAGCCATGTGGGAATCCAATCCTGCTGACCCCCCTTTCTTTTATTTTAAAATTAATTTACTGAGATCAGCAGGTGGCATAATGGTTATATCGCTGGACTCCCACATAGTCAACTGTGTTTCAAGTCCCAGACCCAGAGGATTAAAACTCACAGCAGACACGTGTGCGTGCATGCCCAAAACCCCGAGAGGAGAATGGAGGAGAAGGGGTTG